TGGGTGTGTTTGGGGGCGTTGTTGTTATAAACATTGGGATGCACCCTTTACATACAAACACCGGAGATGCATCATCAGAGACCATCAGGGGTGATTATTATTTATGCCGACACTTTTGTGAGTTTAGCTTTTATCCTCGCGCAACTGGCAGCTGCCCAGTGAATCGTCCCCTGGAACCACAGCCATGATGAGCCTCCGCTACCTCACAACGGACGCACACATACACACACACTCGCTCTCGTTGCTGTCTACGCCCCGGTATATCCCTTGGCATGTTCGCTCCTCCTTCATAAACACTAGCAGCTGCTTGGGCAATTAGCCATTAGCTCTTTACTTTTTACTATAATACCCAGTCCTCAGAAATCCCCACAATTAGCTCCTTAATTGCCTCTAAACAACCCAGGCGTAACCAATAAATAGAAGAAGGGGGCAGACAGCTGGGGGTGAAAAAGACAGACTTATGGGAATGAAACATATCGGCTTGGAAAGTATACATAAAAGCCTTATTTCTCCGTCGGCCTCGCGCAGCCTATGGCGGAATTTTGGTTTCCCTGCCCGGCCCCCTCCGCGCTCTCTCTGCTTCGACACAGTCATGGAAAAGCTCACAGAGGAGGAAGAGAGTAAGGAAGAAGAAAAAAAGAAAACACGAGGCAGGCTGACGGCTCATATTCAGATTCAAACTGACACATCCATGCCCTTTATGCTGTGGTCTAACTATCACTTCTGAGAAATGCTAACATTCAGTGTGACAGAGGGTGTGACTGTGACTTTTCGGCGGGCGGGAAGGGGACGGTGCCCCCCGGGTGTGGATTTTTCTTTTTCTTTTCTTTTTTTTCCTGCGCCGTGATATGACACAGCTCGCTTCACGGAGCAATGGGGATACCCCCAAGATTAGCTGAATGCATTAAGGGGAGGCATAAAAACGTGGCTAACTGTTGATTAAATCACTGTTACATCCATTCTGGCGGTTCCAGTTAACCTCTTTAACATTGACAGCAGCTACGCCGCTAACATGACAATGGCCTCTAGGCAGAAATGTGCCATTTGGTCTCTACTGTACCACAATGGCCGTATTTTAAATTAGGAATGAGTTTTCTCTTAAAAAGGTGAGAGTGCAGAAACTAATTCGTTCATAGAAATATTTATTACGTTGGGTTTTATACATGCTAGTGACACTGTTGAAAATACGAATATTTTCCGAGCTCTTTAATGAAACACAAAGTCTTGATTTTGACATTAAAGATCTTATTTTGAGCTTTTATAGCACAAATGTTGTATTTTTCACATTTATCAGAGTTTGATATGTCCTACATATCAAACACTGAATTTAACTTTTTACAACTCCCACATATTCTATTTTACATCTACGTGGCATATTTGATTTATGAATCCTAAATGAAAGAAAACACAACTTTTTTCTCTTATTTATCTTAGGTACCGTGCTTTTTGATTTCAGGCATGGTATTTATAACTTCCATATGTTCCAGTTCAAAATACATTTCTATAATTAATTGGTGATTTGCTGTACACATCCAGTGTTTAATTTGCCTAATAATTGAGCATGTATAAGAATATTAGAATCACATTATTTCTAGTCCCCTATTTACTTAGGTAATTAATACTACATGATTGTAAATACTTTGGATTTTTTGGTAATAAAATCCCTTTCAGATCATCAATTGACAGGTTCAGCAATAGAAATAATAAAATTAAAAATCACCTGTGATGCTGATTTTTTGTATGTGTGTATTCATGTTTTGATGCGATTTCAAAGCAATAATCAGATCCAGTATATGTTCGAACATGCTTGTTATAGCTCCAAAAATGTTTACTGTTCATGATTTTCTCTCTTGAATTGTCCTAAATTTGACATTTTGAAAGGACTGGTCTGTGCTAACAGCACAAAAACAGCACATATTGGTATTAAAAGGGGTAATAAATACACACAAAAAAGTTATTTAACCTTCATTCCTTAAAAAAAAAACATTTAGGACTACTAGCCATATATAGGAAGGGCTATGGGACCCTTTAGCCTATTTTTTGTAATGCAACTGGGAAATGCCACAACAATGACATATGTTTCCTTTCCTTTCAGCTCTTGTAAATTTGATCAACACATGTTCCTAAGTATCCGCTGCTGTTTTGGTAAAATAAGAATTATGCTTTAACTGTGGAAGTCGAGGCTCGAACTCCAGGTCATCTGTTCGTAACAGTTGCTGGCGTTCTATCAAAGCAGCACGGTTGATTGGTGTCTCGGTTTCGTCGTACTGATAAACTGCTTCCAAATGAAAACAATCAAAGCAGAATCAAGTATAATCAAGGCCAGTAATTTGCCGCAGCTTGAGTGCGCACGTGGGCCCGTGTCGCCTATTCCAAAGTAGTTTCACTGCAGCGCGGAATTTCAGTGGAAGATTTTATTTATTTCATTATTTATTTATTACAAAATCTGCATCCAGTTTTCCTTGAGTGTTTCTTACTGTGTTCTCTCATGCACAAACACAGAAACGGGTACAGTATGGAAAATATCTAAAAGGGCTGCAAGCACCATCTAGTGATTTTTTCAGGAAATTACTCTTCAGAAAGTTAGACTTTCAACTGAAATGATCCATTTTATTAGTATTAAAAATAATAATAACTTTAAAAAAACACTGTGATCTGCAAATTTGAGAAAAAGCCAAACAAGCACTACAGTGAAACACATCCAGTGCTTTACAAGAATCTTTTGCATTTTAAATTATTTACATAATGAAAAAATATTACATGAAACCAATAAACACCAATTAGTATAAATCTAGCATGCTAGCTCTGTCACAGAACCGCCAGAAAAAGAGCTTTTCACTTCTTCATGAAACAAATATTTTAGCTATTATAGTACTAAATCATAAAAGTGAATTTGCATGACATCATTAAATAACTTCATGCAAAACTCATTTTTCAGAGAGACGAAGAAGATGATGATGGCACCTGTAAGAACACAGACATGTTGCAACAACAGCTTATTAGCAACCTTGTCAGCACAAAAGCCATTCTTCATTTGTCGCTATCGTGCTCAACTGAACAAATTTTTTATGCCAACAAAAAGTAAATAAAAGCCAAAAATAAGTACTTCTTTTAATAAAATCCAAGACCTAACTTGATAAGTATTATTGATAAGATCTAAGAGGAGATTAGTGTGGATTGTTCCCCGACTGCTTTAAACAGTTAGAATTGCTTAAAGGATTTTTAACTAAAAGTTATTGACACCAGAACACACAAATAAAGCTCCACCCTGATAGCGAGACGAACAAACACATCACAAGGACACGATGAACAGTGAAAATATACATTCAATTATTCTTAGTAAATTTGTGCATGTGTGCTACTGGATGCAGTTTGCAGCTGAGAAAAGTAAAGATGAAGTCAGGAAGTTATTTTGTCATTAGTTTTTGTTTTTTTTTACCACTAAGAAATTTACAATAAAAATAGCTGGGTACAAGCGTATGGATTTCTGCTGCAGCATGTTAAAAGTATAATCCTTTTGAAAACAACAACAAAGAAAGAAAGAAAGAAAGAAAGAAAGAAAGAAAGAAAGAAAGAAAGAAAAGACCAAACCAGATTTTTCATCACTTTTCAACACATAGCTAAGTTATTCACCTGAAACAATAAATAACACCTATTTGTTTGTCTTCATTGAAGCGTACCGTTAACAACCACAACTTTAAAACTGAGGCATGCTCAATTGGGAGTTTCGTATACGTGTAACAACCCTAAAAGAAACAGACCCTAAATGATCGATGTTTCATTTTGTAGCCATTAATCATGATGATTATCTGCCTGTAGTTGATGAAAACACATCAAACAATAGAATACTACATCTGAACAACAATGTTCAGAATATTACGTATGCACCATAAGTATATTTATTACCTGCGTAACGGTTATTTTCAAAACATACTTTATTCTGATTTTTTTTAAAATCTCATTGGCATCCTTGAACTAAAACCACCATCTCCAGAGAAGTTCAAAGACTAAAAATAATCTCACATTTTTGTATAAAAAGTATGAGTCAGGAGATGGGAACAAAAACATAGACTTTATTTTTATATACAAGGAAGACAGACGTTGGTAATAAGAGAAAGCATGGCTCTACATCATGAATTTGATATTTTTCAAGTGTATAATGTACCATGTAGATAAAGAAAATTAGATGCTGAAAGAATATGGAATGGTGAATCAAGACAGGATTAGGAAGACTTAAGGCAATGGCAACAGTGCAATTTTACTTTTAATAGAATTACGTGGACTTTAAAAAAAACAGTGCATTTCGAGGGTTTACAAAGGACGTACTTAATTTCATGTACTTTTACAATAAGGCTTCATGTTTTTTTGATGAAAGTTGACATGATGTAGCCTAATCTATGGTGTGTTTTGTGTATAGTTTTACAATATCTTAAGAAAACAGATCACTTTCTTATGATCACAGCTCAAAGTCACGACGGCCATTTCCGCCATGAAAGAAAACAATAAAAGCTCGACAGGAAGTCATAACTACAAGTCAATTGTCATAATTATTTATGTTTATGAGAATAAAACTCCTAATTTTGAATTTCAAAGTAATAATTTTGACTTTTAAAGTTATAATTATGAGACACAAAGTCATAATTGTGACTTTCCAAAATTATGAGTTAGATACTGTTTCTTTAAGGAGACTTGCTCCTGCATCTCATAATTACGATTGAATCAAATAATTATGACTTATAAGTTTGAATTATGACTTTGTATCTTATAATTAGAATGTTTAAAGTCAAATTTATTACTTTAAAAGTTGTAATTATGACTTCCTGTTGAGCTTTTTTTTTTCTTTCATGGTGGAAAAGGGCTTCCATGCAATACTCACTGCTTTTTGAAATAAATAATTAACAGGTATAATGAATAATAATAATAAAAAACGTTAACCTTTCACTTCACGCTTGAAATGAGCGAAAACCTACTCGGCATCCGTAGTTTGCCGACGTCACGGGATAACAACATGGCGGCTCACTTCGAATGAATGTAAAGACCCAAACAGAGGCTTTTCTACGCTCAGCAGGTCGCGAGCCGCGCTGTTTTCGGCCCCTGGAGACAGTTGACGGAATAATGATAACCGTTGCTGTGACAGTGAGACATGTCGGAGCCGGGGACAGAAGCTGCTGCCTGCGGCTCTGAGTTCTCCGAGCTGTGGAGGAAGATCTCTGAAGTCGACCGGTCCAAGAGAGGCACGCAGCGGATGCTAGCTACGGCAGCTTCTCCTGGACGTAACGGCGAGGAGGAGAAAAGTAGTTCCGGTTCGTGCTTGTTAAATCAGACATGTCGAAGTTTCGGACACGTCCTAAGTTGAATCCTTAATACTTACACGAAAATAGCCTCAGTAACAGTCGCTGTGTCTGTACCTTCGCACAGATCTGCGGAGTCCTCGCCTGCGAGGCAGCAGCAGATTCCTTGGCTCTAACGTGACAGAGTCTCCTGGAGATGTGGAGCCTTCACAGGACATTTTCTGGGACGGCGCATCCCCAACGCACACTGGTGACGAGTCCATGCTGTTTGTCTGACTGGATGCTCTGATCATGCAGTAAATTGCTGTTACTGCAACAAAGTGCAGTAACAGCAGTTTTGTTAGAAATTTGGAAGAAGAAAAAAAAAAAGAAGCTTCACATGGTTTTTTTCTTACAAAGTAGATTTGTGCACTCAAATAAATGTTTAGTTTCTTGTAGGATTTGTTTCAGTGTCAGTTAATTACTTCATATTCATCTTAAAGCCTGTTGCTCTCCTTTTTATTAGTATTAGTTGTTGATAAAGTGACTTTATTTTGGTAGTATTGTGTTAATGTAAAAATGACTATTTATTACTTATTTTTTTAGGTAACTGTATGGCTGTGACTGTGTGGCACTGTATTAATAATGCCTGAAACACAAATATTGCTCTTGCATTACTATTTGCGAGCATAACATCGTAACTTGCTGAAGGGACTGACTTAAAGAAGTGTGATTTATATCAATAAACTCTACTCAGTAACTGCATGAAATTATATTTTTGAATTTACTGGCATTTATTTATGTTCAAATGGAACAAACAATTAAGAAAACTAGTAAAAAAAAAACCCAAAACATTTCTGACAATATGGTCAGTTTTGTTTTATTAACATCATTAATCGGACATTTTAGAAACAGTAGATCAAAATTCATATAAGAACTTTTTCAAAGTAAATGTTAAACGACATGATAAATGCCCAACGCTATTGGGAGGGAGGTTCACTGTACAGCTCAGCTCATGTTGTTCAGAGATGATCGCATTGATTCTATCTCCCTCTTGTTTCTTTAGGTCAAGGTTACAAGAACACCAGGGCTGTGAAAATCTCTGATATTGTCAACCGCATTGCTCCGAAGGTCAGTGGTTTCATCCTCACCTTCGTCACTGCATTCATCCTCAATATGAAAAACTTCTGAGAGGTTTTGTTTTCCTTCAATTTGCATTTTTCAAAGAATATAAAACCCAAAGTGACCGAACCCTCGCTGCTGCACTGGCTCGACGATGGTGCGACCCCTTACAGCCCTGACGTTCCGAAGCAACGAGTCCGGAAAAGGTCTTCCAGGTGTCTCAAAGTCTCACACCGCATTTTGACCTATAGAAGCTAATTCTTCTTACGTCTTGATAATTGTTTCACTCCAAACAGACAGAGCAGTGTGGAGGATCTCATGAAACTTGCCAAGCAATTCGACAAAAACATGCAACAAGATGAGACTTCCGTCCAACAGAACACCGTCACCGGTAAACTTTGTGACACTGTGGACATCTTTGAAAGCAAAGTCAAAGAACCGAGGTGTCCATCTTTGTCGGAACAAGCGGAGGCAGAGCTTCGGGCTCTGTTTGACTCGTCCACCCAGGGAATCAGCGGCAGGTTGAGCGAAGGCTCGGTCTCTTCTCAAGACAGACAGGACCTCGTCGAGACTTTACCCTTCATTGACCAGAGAAAGTCAGAACCCAAACCAGCTGATAAGCATTCCACAAATAACTTGGTTGACTTTGAGGATGACTGGGACAATGACGACCTCCTCAATGACTCCTTGATCCTGGCACTGACGCAAGATCCAAGCAATCCTCCTAAGACCTCAGCAAAGTCTCACACAAACACTGCTCTCCAGTCAACTGCGAATAAGAAGCCGGAGAACCCGTGTAAAACGAGTTTTGGTTTGCTGCAGGACCTGTGCCCCAAAACAAAAACTTTTAATCGTAGCACTTTTAAGTTGGAATCCAACCCTCACTTTCAAACCATACTGGATAAGGAAGCTGCCAAGTCCGGTTCCACCGCTGTACAACCCAAATCAAAGAGCACAGAGCAGAAACCTGCTGCCACAAAGACGGACTCCAATCCCAGAGGTGAAAAAGTTACGAATGGGGAGAAGTTTTTTCTGCAGGCCTCTTCGGTTAAAGTCGTTTCGGACAGCTTATGGGACGACGGCGATGACGACGCCCTCCTCTATCAGGTATGCGACAGCGTGGAGAGGGTTTCCACCAGCCAGCCGGATGAAGCGGCTCCAAAAATCTGTGAGGGACAAAAATCGAAAGGGCCTGTGGACGGACGGCAGAACACGAGAGACCGTCATTTCAATGCCGAATCCTGTGGAACTTCTGGTGTCGGTGCGAACAGACGATCATCGGGTTCTTTCGTTCGTTCCCACTCGCTGCCGTTGACTTCCTGTTACACTGGAAACTTCCAAGGATGGAACGTTCCTCTGAAAGGCGGCGACAACACATCGGGGATTTCTCAAAGCTTCCCGAGTAGCCGAGGTGGTCCGGGTGGGGATTTCTCCCATGGCAACGTGGCTATGAAGCCTCATCCAGCGATGACCAGAGTCGCCCAGAACTCCATGTCCCAGCATGCAGCATTCAAGAGGAATGTGTCTGACTCAGCCATCACAAACAACAAAGGTAAGATGGTAGAATAAAATAAGAATTAACTAAAGAAGACAGTTTCAATTCACTATTATATATAATTTATTACTGTTATTACTAATATCTTGTGATAGCAGTGAACTTTAGGTATTTCTATCATGTTTTTTAATCTCCAAAGTGTGGTGCTGGAAAAGATTAAATTTAAAATTGAAAATGCTTGAAAGGTGCTTGAATTTCACTGTGGGAAAAGTATACAAACCCTGGATGCAAGTCACACTTTTTAGATTTGTTTTTGTAGAAACCATTATTGTCGTTTCCGCTTTCTATACTGAACTTTGTGTTGGATTGTCTCAGAAAACCTCAATGACACACATTAATCCTTGTAGTCGTTAAATGAAAATAAGGTCAAATAAAACACTGCTGATCACAAATCATCCATAAAACCCACTTTGTATTACACTTATCGTGTTTTTTTTTTTTTTTTTTTATTCCTCACCTGATTGTGTCTTTCTGTTCTTGTTCCAGTTTTTGTCACCAGTCAGAACGCAGGGAAATGCTCTGCGGCGGAGATCGAGAGGAAGAAGCAGGAGGCTCTGGCCCGGAGGCGGCTGAGAATGCAAAACGCTTCGAAACCTTAGAGGAGATCCATCCCGACTGACAAAAACGTCTCGTGATAAGCTGATTGCCTGCAAGCAATAATCATGCTGATAATCAGATTATCATTTCAAACCAGCAGTGGCCTTACTTTATTTCAACTAAAATAGTTCCAGTTAAAGAAACGATGTGGAGCTGCTCAGACAAAATGATTAAACTATGACTTGAAGAATAGTTTAATTCCTTGACTCTAAACATGTTTATGGGTGGGAAAAAAAATTATATTTTACTAAGATTGGTCCTACTTGTTATTATTTGAGTCTCATGTTGATTTTGTTCAGATTTGAATAATTGCACCTCGTAGTTGCATCTCGTTTTCTACAAATGTATAAAAGCTAAAATGCAGTTAAGATAATGGTATCCTTCATTTGGTTTATGCTGTACAGTTAAAAATTTGTGGATGTTTTCTATTGTCTGAGTGACTGAAACTGTTCTGGTTCATGTTTTATAAATCAACAGTCAAGACTTTGATGACTTTAGCAGAATCAGCGTTTTGAACATTGCTGTAGCAGACGCTAGCGGAAAGTCTGTAGCCAATGTCTGATCTATTTTGAACCTTAAAGTAAGTTTACGCTGAAGAGACTGATTGTGAGAAGAACATTTTTGAATAAATCTTGATGTGACACTTTTTTTCCCTTTTTTTTTTTTCCACAGATCTGAACCAAATATTGTGCAAAACCTGTGCAGGCAGCTGAATCTGTGATTTTTCTTTTAACACTGCACTCCCTGAAAGTTTTTTTCACAATCAAAAGCAAAAAATAAACACATTGAGTTATTTGTTTTTTGGTTGTTGTTGTTTTTTTTTCAGTTTATCACATGAAATCCCGATGAAATACACTGATATTTGTGCATGTAGTTCAGTATGTTTTTGACTACTTTTGCAAGGCGCTCTGACACTGTGCAATTAACTTCAGTTTGAAGCAGCAATTCCCCTGTGTTTATTTTCACATTTTAAATTTATGGTGATGTGTTGTCACACATTTAAAGCGATTAAAATAACTTGTGAATTAAAATTTTGGAATAAAAGCAAAAAAACACAAGACACTAAAGGTTTTAGCGTATGAATTTTATTCACTTCTGAGTTTGAAGTCACATAGCACCAGTTCATTCAACCCTGTTCTTAATTTTAATCATATTAATATGAGATGCTGATTCCAGCTTTGATAATGATAGCAGGAGTTAATAATTTGTATTGTGACTGATGGGTTGCTGGTTTGAACCCCCTTTGTCTGGCATCATTGGTGTCCTTGGACAAGATGCAGGAGGATTTTGCGGTTTGCTTTCACACTGCATTGTGTCAAACAAGTCAGACCATTTGAGAAACGCTAAGAACCACTGGAGGAAACATGACGACCTCCAAGGGAGACACTGAGCGCAAAACCTCCTCCTTCACAAAATGCGACACAGAAATATTGTCTGATTTTAACGGTTGTAGGATTTCTTTTGTCTTTGGTAAAAGACCACCAACCACGCGTCTCTCTAGCACTAGACTGCCGTGTTTGTATTTACCCAGAATGCCCTGCTCAATAGCCCACTTCCTGCTTTTGGAGCGCTCGCTGGTCTGCTTGGCATTTACATCCATTCAATTCAGTTCAGATACCAGGATTTTCAGGCAGACTAGAGTTCGATTCACACCTCCCCCAAATCAACCAGACTTTCTAGGCAAACAAAATAAAGTTTGTTTCAAGCGGACTAAAGAGGATCGGTGTGAGTGCGCCCTAAGAAACGCCCCCAGAATTGATCAAAACCACGTTAAATGCTTAAAAACAAGCCTAACCTTGGAAGGCAATGAGAGACATCTCACATCTGTATCATACTATTTTCCTTCCGACTGAAAAGTCGAGGATGTGAATGAAAACTAGTCTTTCCCAGGTGCAGTTTCAGCTGTTTGGATGTGGTCCATATTTTCGGCGACGCTCCTGTCGGTGATCCCACCAGCTGCTCAGGATCTGGAGGCATCACAGGAGCGCTCCCTCACGGCGCTCATTGGCTCCCATTATCCCAACCTCTGCGTATTGTGGAGCTGCTGACAGGTCAAGTAGTCATCGTGGCCTTATTTCACAAAACACTCAAATCCGCTTTCAACAAGCTGCTGTTCGAAACTTACTGTGGACGTCAGGCGCCGCCTCAGCGTGGAGAATATTATTGTTACGAGGCAGGAGGGATTATTTTAATATGAAGGCTAATTTGTCTTATCATTACACTCACCTGCTGTTCCAAGGAGGAGAGGACAATGTTGCTCTTTGTGATCCCGGGATAATTCGTCAGTGTTCCTCCCTCAGAGCCATTCCCACTGCTTTACACGCCTGTTACAGCTTGCAGGTGTGTGTCAGAGAGAGAGGAAAAGAGAGAGACGGGTGGTCCGCAGGTGTGTGTGTTTGATTATTTATTCCTCCTCTGCCCCTATGTGTCTCCCCCTCTCCAACCCCAGTCTGATTATAAATCAGATGCCAAGGCAATTTGGCAACAGTATAAAGGCCCCCTGTTTTTCTTTTTATGATTATGGTTATGATGATGACTAGTGTATTTATTTCAAACTATTTGATGAAACCCCTGGCTAAAGCTAGCAGGTGTTGAGCAGGGACAATATCACGCTCGCTGAAGGACGAGCAGAAGAAAGGCTCGTTTCAGGGCCCATGTTACACGGAGCCATCTCTGATGATCGGATAGGAGCGGAGCGCCACAACGTTCCCCTTTGTCGGAAAAAGAATGATTTATGGCTGTTAGTTGGGCATGCGGCAGTAATTGCCGCAGTTACAATTATGTTACCATAGCACCTGTTTAAACTGTCTATTCTTGTGTGGATGTTTTCGTTTTCCAGCAGAGCAGAGTTTGCGAGCTTGAATTTTATACGCAGAGACATTAAACGGCGACGGGAACGGGGGGCCCTCGGAGAGAGGTCTGGGAGCAATTTCTGGGTAAATGGGAGCGTGTGATGGGCAGATTAGTGTTGTGTCATCTGATATGCAAAGAAAACAACGCAGAATATTTCCCCCCCCCCAAACGCAAATGGTGGAAGCGGCCTTTTCAGCGAGTACAATAAATATACGGAAACGTGTATTTAGTCGGCGGTTATTTGGAAATCAGCGCCGCTCGGCAAAACAAAAATATTCCCTTCCTCGACCTCCATTGTGAAAATATTGACTTAAAAATATCACAAAACTTGACACAACCAAATTGTGTTCGTTGGAACCTTGACTACTTAATGCTATTGAGAAACAGAAAACAGTAGACTTGGAAAAACATGGGCTGAATTCACAGAGTATAAGGTCCTTGGCTAAAGCTAACAGCTGTTAGCTTACAAATGTAGCTAAGTAAAAGAAGTTAATGGTTATTTGGAAATTAGCGCCGCTCTTCAAACAGTGCTAACAGTGTGTTAGCTAAAGCTAGCTTTGGCCATAGGCGTGGCCAGGGATTAACACAGTATTGTTTCCAAAAATGAAAAAAACTTTTCGTCAGCAGAGAGATCCTTTTTCTTTCCCATGTTGCTTGAAACCTGTGGCCTGCTTAATAATGTGGAACATCCTTCTTAAGTAGATTTCCTTTAATTGAGCTCAGCAGCCAAACTAATCAACCCAGCTCTCTGAAATTAATTGCAGTGACTCAAAGGGCCCTGACACACAATACCATCTAAAGATTGAATAGCACAACAGCAAAAAAATGTAATCTTTAAAACACTTGAATCCTGTTTGCATAATAATTTGCAACACGGTGTATTTGGACATTTTGGGGATCGATATGAGGCGGACGTTTCTGGAGACATCTGCTGTTTCACTAAAGGAAAACAGCAAAACTAAAGCATGTTTAAAGCACTGACCAGCCAGTAGAGACAACTCCTCTAATAGCTTTCCCATGCAGAGACTAAACACAGCTTTACAGAGCAACAAGATTACCTTCCCAGAATACAACTAACACACATCACAAATATATCAGCATGAGTTTTTTTTCACTCTTCCTTGCTCTCTAACTTTGGCTCCCTTATCAGCGTGTCTATCTGCCTCCGACACACACACGCACGCACACACACACACACACACACACACACGCAAACAGGCTGAGCGCAGGAGGTTTTTGCACAACTATGGCAGCAGCCTGTCAGCAGCGTAAATGACCTGTGAAGAGTTTCACGGTGCGTGTCATTAGGCAGCTTTAGATTTGTTTCAACAGCGCTTTACCTGAGGGCTTCATTCATGGGCCCCCAGGTATGACTGCCTTCCTCACGGGGCTAGAGAGCAGGGGGAGGGGGTGACATGGTGGGCTGGGAGGGGTCTGGATTTCCACAGAAGCGACTAAACGAAGGCCAGTGAGTAGAGAACTGAGCCCGTTTCGAGAAGGACGACGATTTATTTAGGACGACCTCTGAGCCAAACTTTATAAAGGGTTTACAGGGCAGTTGCCCAGGGCCAGGAGTTGGGGCGCCCCCCTCCATCCCCCAACCCTCAAGAACATACATTACTCAAAGTCATGGGCTCATTTTACATGTGGTGTGTTTTTTTAGTTATTTATTTATTTAAATTTTCTTGCATTTTCATCAATTTAAACTGCACTCAAGTATTTGAAAATGATCATGTTTGTGGTACCAACATTAAGCCATCTGCCAGATGATTTAAATCAACCAGCCATCATTTTATACCTGCAAATCTGTCGGTCCACCTGTTTATGATCTGTACTTTGAATGAGTGATATGTTTTGTTTTGTTTTTTCCCAAGACAGGGCACCCGAACTGACTCCAGCTCAGAGGCCCTTATTCTAAATCCGGCCCTGGACGTTCTTGTGTTTTGACTGGACTTTTAACTGTGAAATGGAAGGCAAATCTCACATTATTCATTTACTTAAATGCGAATGCATGGCTCCTCTCTCAGATTAAAGATCTTTTACACTGACACCCTAGATAAAACCTCTGCAATCAAATACCCCAAACCTCTTCTGAAAGATGTTCAAACTGTGAAGAGGAAGTAAAATTATGCATTTTGTCTTTTTTTTTTTCAACAAAGAAAAGCCTGAAAAGTGCGGAGTGTACCTATATTTAGCTTACTTCATTTAATACTCCTGAATAAGGTGCAGCTAGCCCTCTAAAGTAAATAACTTGTGTTGTGGGTTAGGAATATGATTGGCCCTTGTGGGCCACCATACACGGGTTTGCTGGATAAAGTCAGATAGATCTACAATAGATAGATTGTGGTTCTAGCGAGACATAATGTGTGGAAGTTCAAGGGGGAAGGATACTTTCTAAAGTATCTCAGGGAAATTTACAGTGTCTGGTTGTTATCTGCAAATATATTCTGTTTTTGAAAATACGGGTATTTATGAAAACCGCAGGGAGTTGAGAAGAAATAAGAGAGTTTTAAGATGCTCCAGCTGGTACCACTGACTCCCAAACGGGCCTGTTTGTGTGCGCCGGAGATGTATGGCCTTAATAAGCGAACTTCCTTTAATAGTATTTAGTCGTACGGCAAGATCCTTCTGATTTTATCGCCCACTTAACTCATGTTGCACTCGATCACGTCCCACTAACTTACAGTAAGCGTGACAGTTAAAATAAATTTCTGATGAAATAAGTCAGGGAGAGGTCAAAATTACCCAGACGTAGCGCAGATAAGGAGTATGGAGGTGTCTAGAAACGAGTCGTTGTTATTGCAGACTAACTCATTCCTCTGGAATGGAGGGAGTACTAGAAAAAAAACACATCCAAGGAGAGATTAATCACTCCGCTGAAAGTCAGGCAATGAACAAAACTTTCGATTCCTCGCCCTGTGCACTTCTCAAGCCTGGATTATCGTA